GGCTCGAAATCTCGCTGAGCAAGATCATCAGTCGAGAAGTAAAATGAGTCGTACCAGTAGGCCTGCTGCTGTTTCCGTTCGAAGTAAGGCGTCTGCCGAGGGTAGACGTTGAGAGTCTTCGACCACTTGTTCGGCGCTGCGGTTGTGCTGTGAAGTAGTTTGAGGGAGCTCTCGCAAGTCTATCATTGAAGTAGCAGAATCATCGTGAATTTAATGTGCAACTGCATGGAAATAGTTGAAGATCTTTCTCAAGTGTGGCCATGTGTATACTAGCAGAAGGTCCTCTCTGAACGTCTGAACTCAACTGCGCAGCAGTTATGATAGGAAAGGGCTTAGCGATTAGGATGAGCATACTGATCAAGAAAAACATGGAACCTGTTCTGCGTATTTGTGTCGGCCGGGGCGAAGCCATGTTTTTGAAGCTCTTGGACGGGTATGAGGAATGTTCCCATGAGCTCTGCTGGTGGCTTCGTGCTTTTTCGTAGGTGCAGCGCGAGATAGTCCACGGCTGTCGGCGTGAAGCCTTCCCCGTTCTTCCTGCGGTGGAGTTTCAGGTATTGAGGACCTCCTTTGGTTTGGATCTAAAAAGGTTGGATTATTTTGGCTCTATCACTTTTCCGGAGATAATTCACTGTACAAAAGTGACGTGAGCTGTTTTGCTTCTGTAGCTAGGTCTTAGATGGGTGGCGCTCCCTCCTCTCATAAATTTCCTCTAGCAGACTAGTGGGAAACTTTTAGGAGTATACCTTTGCGTCGATACGGTGAGGCCTGTAATTTCGCCACCTCGCTTCTGCAGTTTCAGGGTTCTTTCTTGAATCCGTAGCACCTCGCTTCCCCCGAAGCCCATTAGGAACCCATCAACGACATCAAACTCCTCTGGATTCCTTTCATACTTCCAGGACCGACTTTGCGACAAAGCTCTTCGGTAATCCTCTCGAAGTCGCGTCTCCACGAGAGTGTTGCTTCCGGTCGTCAGTGCTCCGTGCAAAGAACCAGGATCATGCAGCGCATTCTTGGACCAGAGCTGTAGAAGTCTTTTAGCTGCTCCACTGGCTGAAGTCCAGACTCTAGGCTCATGGAGATCCATCTTCTTGAAGTCTTCGTGTCGATGTATCATCATCGCCAGAGCCTCCTTGCTGTGGGTGGAGTAGGCACAAAGAGCGCACCCATGGTAGGCGTCTTTCTTGGTGGTGAGTTGATGTCGCAGCTGCCTAATCCAGGCTGCGACGTTGCTGCTTTGGCTCACCTTCAGTTGAACGGGCAACCATTTTCGATGATTCTCGCTTGTGTTGCCCCGTGGTGCAATGGCGATATCAGCTGACAGCTCCGGCAACTTGCGCACCACGATGGATCGAGTCAGATGATTCAGCAGCTGTCCAGTTGCATCACGCTCGATCTCGCGAGGTGTGGATCCCATTCTGCGGAGAAGAGGTACTAAGCGGACATCTCTACTCCTTGACGCTACTTCTACTTGGTTTTTTCTAAGTTGTTCGATTAGAAATCTACTAGAAGCTTGCCGCAAGGTGTTGATGATGATGCTGGTATGAGTGATAGTTGTTTTTTTCACTGCAGCCATCTCTTTCTTGTCCTCCATTGTGATCGTCGGACATTCTTATTCCGTCAGCATTTTCAACTAGAGAAGTGTCCCAGGATCTCCTTCACCATGACCTCTACTTCGTTTCCAGGTAATTCGGACCATCGCGGAGAACTAAGGCGTTTTTGCGTGTATTTGGAGTGGATTTGTTAGAACGTTGTTCACGCGTTGCGAGGTGGTGCCGGAGCTTGGAATATGCAAAAACGTCATCCAGGAGCGGCGATTTCAGGCGTCGAAAGCCAGCGGCGCGCGGGTAGGAGGGCTCAGTCTCACTTGGGGGCAAGTGGGGACGAGCCTCGGGGAAGAGGAGGGTGTTTGGGCCTGTCAATCTAGTCCTATTTTAACTAGCTAGTTTAAGACACTGCACTTACCCACCGCTGTCCGAGGCTGCAGACCCTCCATCAGGTACGCCGGTCCGCTCAGGTGGCTCAGGGTGAGCACTCGCGAGGTTTTGACTTTTGAGTAGGAGTAGTCTTTTTTCTGTCATAATGGAGTGGCTTCATTTATTGCGTGCTTGCTTTATAGGGCAGCCGCTTTACTAGGTAGACGTAGGCGCGCGAACTTAGTAGCACAAAACTACGAGAGGAGAGCAGGGGCCGGCCTTGGGTGGCGCTGCTCTTGTCTGCCCCGCGCATGCAGCGCCTCGCAGAGTGGGAACGACGCTACTGGAGGCGTTCGCCTTTGGAGGTGGTTCGTTCGCGCTTCTGGGTCACGTGTTTGACGCATCGAGGAAGACATTGCGCCCGCAAATTTTTTTTGGTATGGAACTCGTTCAACTCGAGCAACTCGTCTCGAGCAACTCGACCCGATATCGGGCCAAAGAGTCCAGCTCTATAATAATAGTGCACGCGAGAAGCGCGGCTTGCTCTCACTCAAAATATAGAAGATGGGCGCGCTTTCTGAAGGGAGAACGAAAGCTGGCCGCACTCACTGGGTTGCCAGACGTCGGTAGGGGGTGCCGGAGTTTGGTGCTGTGCGGCTCATTTTGGTGAGGCCAAAGATGAGCCAGAAGCGAGCGCGTCGTGAAGCCTAAAATCTTAGGCGCCAGCTTTTTAGTTCCAACCAGGATTGGGAAATGGGCTGAAGCCAAACCGACTAGGAACCGGCCCAAAAAAGTGCGCCGCATGGGGTCGGCGTACATAGGTGGGCGCCATTGCGAGCGGCACCTGGGACATTTCTGGCGAAGCCGCCGGACCCAAGGCAGCACCCAAGAACCAAGCTGGCACCAGATTGGCCTTGAGTCGGCTACTTTTCTTGAGGCGGGCTCTGCAGCTGAACAGCAGAGCCCGCGGCACGGCCTCAAGATCATACGCATCACCCTGAGGGCCCACGGGTGAAAGCTTAAAAAAAACGCAGGAAGCCCCGCCCCCCGGTGCCGTTATCGTGCCAGGCAGCCACTGCCAGCTCCCTCGACTGTCAGCTCCTCCCAGAAACTTCCGAGAAGTCATGAAAGTGGCGAAGTTTCTGAGGAGTTTCTGCGAAGTTGCTACCTTTGGGATTTATGTGGCTGCATGTTTCTAATCTCGCGCCGGCTGGCTCCTTGAGTTATCTCTACCGCGTGCTGGACTCTTTGCTGGTGTCGTGCCTTTGATGAAAAATATGCGGACGGAGTCTCTTGGCTTTTTCTAGAGGATGGCACTTCGCTGCGGGGTCCTGTACATGGTAGAGGCGCTCGCTTCATCCTCGTGCCCATTTGTTTCCAGGGGGGTCAGGCTAACGCTGGAGCGCATTGCCAAGGGGAGGAGCGCGTGAGAGACAAGGAGAACGAAGGGCCCGCGGCTTTGTTTTTTTTGCCAAGCTTCGCCTTCGATGGTGTGTGTGTGGGTGCCGTGTCTAGTCTCGCCTGCCCTCGGTGTCTCTTGGGGGTGCTCGAATGATTGGGATGGCGCTAAGTCAGCTAAGCACTGCGCAAAGAAAAAGAGCGAGGCGACCGGCGGGCGCTGTTTCCTCTACATCTTAGCCGTGGATGTAAGTTGGAGCCGCTCGGGGATTTGCAGCGCGCCTGAGGTTCTTTGCCCACAATTGTGGGGGGGTTCGTTTTCGTTGGGGGTTCTCAAACACTAGGCGATGGGTGTCCTCTGGGTTCTTGTCATACCTGGAAAGGTTAAGAAATTTTTTGGGTTTTTGCCGTCTTTGTCTAAGCTTTCCCAATCGGGCTCCGCTTGTCTGTGGTCAGGTTTTTCGCTACAATCGGACAGGGCTGAGGCGCTCAGCCTGCGGCTCTCTGTTTTTGAGCGATCGCGAGACTTGAAAGCATGAAACTGACCCAAAAAATGCGGCGCATGGGGCCAGCGTGCATATATATAGGCGCCACGAAGGCCGAAGAGTGACACCAGAGACACCTTTGGCGAAGCCGCCGGACCCAATGCACCTGAAAGCCAAGCCGGCACCAAGACCAACTTGGCCCCGGGTCGGCTGCCTCTGCCGAGGGTTCTGCAGCTAAAAAAGCAGCACAGCCCGCGGCACAGCGTTAAGCCAAGACGCATCACCTTGAGGGCCCACGGGTGAAAGCGTAAAACCACACAGGAGCCCCCGGCCGCCGGGGCTGTTTTCGTACCAGGTAGCCACTGCGGCCAGCTCCCTCGATTATCAGCTCCAGCCCAGTGCGCCCCGCTAGTCTGTTGCCCCCCTGCCGCCTGGCAGCGGTCAACTTTACAAAGGAAACTCAATGACTAGTCTTACTTTTTCTGTGTCTCATAAAGATATTAAATTTAAAGCTGCTGAAGCATCTACAAAACTAGGGTGTAAGCATTAGCGCATAGTAACTTTAATATTTTCTATGTCCTCTTTATCACAAGTAAAACTGCTTTCACTCTCAAAAATCGTTTTTTTCTGCGTCGCTAGGTTAATTAGCTAGTAAATTAGGCCAGTTTACTAGCTATTAATGGAGATCCTTTCCGGTCCTGCTGCTCCAGAAGGCTCCTCCAGGAGGCCAGAATCTGAGATCCATCTTGCTGTACGATCTCGGCCCCACCTCGCCACGCTTTGAGCCCTGTCCTGAAGTGGTGGTGCTGAAGAAGATGTTTGCTGGTGTCTGCCTGCTGTGGTTGTATTGATGCTCCTCGTTTTGTACACTCTGATGAACGTGAAATCGATTGGCTTGCTGGACTAGTTTCTGTTGAACATCGAAAGAAAATAGAAGAAGAGGACGCAGCTTTTTTTCCGCGCGAGGTGGCATATTCGGTGGCGTTTGGACTAGAGTCATGCTGTGTTCTTGCTCGATAAAGTCGCTTTTTTTCGTGCTGTCGGCTGAGGAGTAGACTCGAGCTCACCATGAGAAAACTGCTGGATGCATTTTTTTATGAGAGCGATTCGATCGCTTTTTCAGTATGGAAGTGTCGTAATTTGTTCGGAAGATGAAGACTAAAGACCGATGACAAAATGGCTAAAAGTTGTCTAATATTGCAGTGAACGAATTGACTTTTTGTATACTTTCCCCCACTAGGGTCCCCCTTTGATATCACCTTCCTTAAGAGATTTCCAGACCAAGCACAACCATGTCCGGCGTCCCTGATGTGCAGCGTCCTCCTCTGAATTCGAAGGTTCAGAAGGAGAAGTGGGCATGTCGACTTCGTGGCGCTTTGTCCGAGTACCTCGAGTACCTACCCAAAGAAGAGTGTGGCGCGCTCTTGCAAAAAGTGCAAATCCGCCTGGATCAGCTCAACAATCACCAAGTTGCGCTGAACATCGCACAGGGCAAGCTATACCCTGTCAAGAGCTTTCCAGGTGAGCTGGTTCATTTAGAGTTTCTTTGTTAGAAGAGGTGAGTTAGGTTGGGTTCCTGTGTGCTTTCCTATAGCCTTTTCAGCTCAGAACTCCTCATACAATTCAAGTTTAGTCTATTTAGATATTCAAACTACGGCTTCCTTGGAGTAGAGTCCTCTTCTTCGTAACGTTTTCGTCTCCTTCTCAACAGGTTGGGACTCGATTCCAAAGGAGGACTATTGGAAGTACTTCGCTGCGTGCAATGTCGAAGGATGGGACTACAACAAGCTGCAAATTGTGCTGGAGAGTTCCAAACTCTGCGTCGAGATCCTGTATGAGTGGGGCCTCGATCGCAACGCCGCGGCACCGACTTCTTAGTTAGATTTCGTCGCCATCTTTTGAGTATAAGTCTGCAGCTAATTAGGTATAGAGAAACGAGATATAGGAGGTCGCACAGTCAAGAAGTCTTCTGCTCATCATACAAGAAAAACTGACATGCAGCATCCTTATCCCCACTGAATGCACAGCAATAACCTATCTCAACCACCTTAACAGCTTCCCTTCGACGCGAGCAAGAACTGTCCATCTGCCAAAAGCGTGTCCGCTCGTGTCTTGCACTTGGCCAAAATGAATCCTCATGCTGCAAACACGTTCGAAGTCGTCCAAACTCGCCAGTACCAATTGAAGCAGCAAGAAAAAGCGGCACGTGAGTGGATGGAGCAACAGATGTACAAGGGAAAATACGGCTGGAAAGGACAACCGTTCGCGATCTCCGACAGCACTTGGACTGAGGTATTTAGATTTCGTCTGGTTCTTATCAAAAAGTGAAGAAATGACTCGAACTTCCTTTCATATTTGTCAAGTTGATCTACTCTTGGAATTTCCTTCTACAACCCCTGCAGACGCACCATGCTGACCAGAGCGCGTACTACAAAGGATATCAGCCTCGCTCGTTTGAGGAGCGTTCTCGCCCTGATGAAGCGGTCTACCACTCGTACCAGAAGGGATATGAGCAGCGTGAGCGCACTGATCGTCGCCAGCCTGAACAAGCATCCTCAAGCACTGACGTGCCACCTCCTAGTACGTTGTTTCCACCTAAGCAGGAGATGACGAAGGGCAAAGGCAAGAAGGGGAAGAAAACGGCTCCTGTGGCTAAGGGTCCTGCGGCAGCTCATCACACTCCGATCGTGGCTCCTCCTCCGCCGGCCAAAGAGCCTGCTGCAACAACAACAACAGATGATGCACCCCTCAAAACCAAGAAGGGATCGAAGAAGGGGAAAACATCCTCAGTGAAGGGGAAAGGTGAGAAAAAACCAGCCAAAGCTGAGGAGAAACCAGTCGAGGAAGAGCCCAAGCAGCAGGCTGACGAGGAGGTGGCGCCGGAGGAACCTGAGGCACCGGAAGAGCCTCAGGAAGATCCGATGCAGGTATCCCCTGAAGCAGAGAATGTGGTCTACGATGCAGAAGATAACGGTGTGGAGGGGGTGCAGGATGATCCTGTTCTCAGTGACAACAACGCGTCCAGTGGTGTGGAAGAAACGAATGCAACTGGTAGTAAGGGACACAGCCTGGACGAAACTCAGGGCGACATGTCTGGCGCAGTCGGAGATGACCTCGATCTGGAGGAGGCTGCCAAAGTCCCGTCTCAACCCGATGGGGCAGAGGAGGAGAAGGGTGAAGCTGAGCAGGAGCAGCAAGAACAAGAGTGGGAGGGGGAATGGAATGAGGGGGAGTGGAATGAAGGTGAGTGGAAGGATGGCGAGTGGGAGTAACTGTAGCTCTGAGGCAGATCTTCGAGAATCAACCTGTACAATGTGACGCCTTCTTCTACAATCTGAAAAATATCAACGAACACCAACTAGTTTCTAAGTAGTCTATCAGTATAATCATCGATGAGCAGTCTAGTAGCAGTACTCAAAATCAGAACCAGCATCTTCTTCTTATTAGGGAAATTATAGCAGAGTTTTTCAAATCAGATCAGCAGAACTTGGGGCCATACTAACTAGAAGCACTATGGGAAGACGGAAATCTACAATGAAGTGAACGTTTAGGGTGGCTTTTCAAGCTCCACCCAGTGACATTCAACGCAGAAACCAGAGCAGCACTACTCTTAATTTTGCCACGGGAAACAATGAGAAACATGAAATACAAGCACGAAACTCAGTCGATGGAAATCAATGCAGCACCTTTCTTAATAGCAACAGAAACTTGTACAAAGTTATTTGTGTATTATTTTCCGACGAGATGAAAGTAGAAACCTTCTTAACATTTCTGGTCGCAGCGGGAAGCTTCTGCTCCTTCGTGTCCATTTCCTGATCGCTTCGTAGATCGATCGTGAAAGTCGCACGAGTGAGAGAGAGACATCGATGAGAGGATCGGCCTTCAAAACGCTTGAGTTTCTAAAAAGGTTCGTTGATAAAAAAAATGGCCCATGATTCACGATATGAAAACGGACGAGGTGTTACACTACTAGAAATTAGCTAATGAATGAAGTGGAGGAGTGTAATTCTCATAAGAATGTAATCGGAAAAGATGAATGCTGTCGCGGCTGGAGATGCGGAGAATCAGATCCGCGATGCCTTACAGCGCAATCAAGTAAGGCAAGCGCAGAAGCCACGATGGCAGCGCGCGGTTGTGGACGGGACGATGCATGTGAGGTCTTTCCTCACTCGTACTGATGCCAATAACTGGGCTCGATCGTGGAGAGATAAATGGTTGCTCTTTCGACGTGAATATAAGGGGCCAGATGCCGTAGCATCAAAAGATGTAGACCTCGCAAATGGTCTGATCGGAGGAGAAGTGCACAAGGAAGTGGTATAGATTCTTACGATGATGCACGATGATAAATAGCATCAGGAACCACATCAAACACCTTAAAGAGCTTTCCACTCGTCTGTGTTATTCTTACAACCCTTAACCCATCTGCTCCTCCAGGTGCCTGTCTTTCGAATGATGATGAACAATAAGCGTTATTTGCCGGAGCTGGTCAACATTTTTAAAGAGTTTCGAGGCGCCAAGTTGTTAGATGTGAATGACGCTCCTCATCTGGTTGAGGCAGCGTATGAGAGGTGGCTGAAGGAGAATGGAATGTCGCAGCATTTGCGCAAAGTGCGACCTTATGCTACCTTTTATTCATTTGAATATATAAGAAGTAGTGACTTCTTGATCATCAGCCTGAGACTCTCCATCCTCTATGTTAAGTGAAAAAAAATATTGATGCTTCTTGATCTTAATTCTTCTTGTTCCGAGTCGTATCTCTCCCCTGCTACCCTCCTCAGAAACGACTGATGCAGAGGCATCTCTCGATGCTTTTCACCGTTGCGAAGATAAGAGGAAAGTGCGCAATTCCGTGGGCAACTCCTACTGGTTCCCACTTGGATTGGTTGAAGACGATCTGTCTCCAAGGCGATGGGTCCGTCAAGGGTGGAGATAAGAAAGAGGCCTATCAGGTATAGAATCGATTTTAGTCTAGTCAGATTTGTTGCGTCTGTCTCGCTTGGGGAGTTCTATTGGAAGTCAAGTCTTCGGGTTTTATCTGGAGTCTAGTGGTGTTTCAAGTTGATTATACACAAGTTCTCACTTTCTCGACAAGTCTATCTGCAGAAGAGTGGCCCTATCTTAAACACCCACTACCCCGCTCTTCGTCTTGTCCCGCAACAAAATAACGAGAGGGCTGGAGACGTTTATGGCTGCGCTTCCACTGCAAGTTCCAGCGATGCATAAGGTGGGGAAGAAAAAAACCCATCAGCCTGCGGCTGAACGATCAGAAGACGTAGCTCGACTTGTTCAGCACTTCGCGCCAGGACTTCTGAACGACCTAGAGGGGGAGCCAGTTGATTCCGCGCGGATCCTCTTGATCTTTGACAATGACCAGGAGGCGACGGTCCAACGCAGTGCGCATGGAATAGCAAAGCACTGCGCCTGTGTCCCCCGCATAGGCTTGCATCATCGCCTATCGAATAACTCCAATAAGTGTGCCAAGGCGTCAGCCCTTCGATGTTCGATGAGAATACTCGCAGGCGGCAAGAAGACGGAGAAATCTCTCCGAGGAGCCTACGAGAATGCCAGGCAACGCTGCATAGCCCAGGCTGAACGAGGCGAGCCGTTCTTGCTTGCTGATAAGATCGAAATGCAAACGCAGAAGACGGCCAAAGACGCTCTAGAACAAGGTGCTTTGATTTATTTTGGCCTCGCAACTCCATCTACAGACTCTTGAGATTTCCTTCCGTGTCTCTTGTTTCTAGTGCATTTCTTGAGGCTGGCCGCGTCACCTGCTTCGACCTTTGTGCCGGGTATCCGCCGACTTCTAGTGGTGCTTGCAGGTCAGTTTGGTCCTCGTTTGTTGCCGGACCCAGACGCCTAGCTGGTCCGGCAAGCTCCCAGCCAGCTTTGGCGCAGGTTGGAAATGAGTACTCAATGGGAGTTAGGTCAAAAAGCAGGCATTTTCTTCGGACCTGCTTTCATTTTCGAGAAGGGGTCTCAAGATGGGTGCTCCAGAGAGGTCAATTTGACCTCTCTGGAGCCTCATTTTGAGCGATTTTGGAAATGAGTACTCAATGGGAGTTAGGTCAAAAAACAGGCATTTTCTTCGGACCTGCTTTCAGACTCTTCAGAGGACTCATGAAGAAAAATGAAAGCAGGCCCGAAGAAAATGGCCCTTTTGAGAGCTAACCAGCACTGAGTGGCCATTTCCAACTTGCTCAAATCTCGTCTGAGGCTCTCCGTGAGCTTCAGACGAAATGAAAGCAGGTCCGAAGAAAATGCCTGTTTTTTGACCTAACCAGCATTGAGTACTCATTTCCAGACCTGCCCACTTTGGGTCCCAGACCACTTCCAGAGACTTGAGGCCTTGATCTGCTTTGCTGAGTCAGCCACATCCACACTCGATTGCTCCTCTTCGGCATGCAGATCTGCCCTGACCTGCTGGCATTGCTGGCCTTGTCTGGTTCGATGACCAGCCTCACTTCAGAACCATCCTCATATTTATCTAGTCTTCGGCATTTGGAGTTGATTTCTCATAATCTCAGTCCAAAACAACAGCCTCCAGATGCCGGGTTCAAGTCCATGGTGCAGATGCGTTGGTTTGCAAATTCATTCGTGATGCGGTGGGCGCAGACAAGAGGAGCTATTTGTGCTACGGTTTTGGAAGAGATGAAGCGGACTGCAAGCGAAGAAACAGGTGTTGCGCTTGAGGTCGAGCCCGGTCGTGAAGTAGATCCTAATGGTCCAGCTTTGGCGGATGGAGATGATGTTGCGGCACTGGAAAACTGGGAAGATGACTTTCCTCAACCCATAATCGAGAACGAAGGTGAAGATGTTGGTCCATTTGATGCCATCCCTGCTGAGCAGGCTTCTTCTCCAAATAAGAACTCAAAGAAGGGCAAGCCGGACGAGGATAATAATAAGCTCACGGACTGGAACAAGTTGTGCAGCTTTTATGACGCACTAACCAACATCACAGAGGATGAGATGAGGTTCCACGAGCGGTTGCACCAGATTCCCTTCTGGTTCCACTTGTTACATCTCAAGTGTACCTTTGGACTTCAGTACATTGAGTCCCATTGTCCGGGTGCTCGTGTATATGAGGCCTTGTTCCCGACGTTGGTCCACTGCAACAACCCGAGCTCCTTCTTGCTTGCTGCAGCCAGAGAACTTCCTTCTATACTTTCTGAAGCTGTTCACGCCGCTTGTGCCCTCTTCTCGGAAGATCGCAATCGCAATAAGGAGATTCTGACCTTCCTCAGATTAACAGTCCGGCAGCAGCTGTATGAGTCCTACGACCCACTTTGCAACTTGTGGATCTCTGCGTTCTTGCGTGACAACTTCTTCAAACCAGAGCACATTGAGATCCTGAAAAACTTGAAGAACGAAATGGGAACGACAAATCCGTACGTATCGGAAGAGCAGTTTCGTCACTACTTGAAGACCCCAGGACTAGCATCAGTAGGAAAAAGCGTCTGTCAACGAGTTGTGCTTAGTGGTAGTTCTTCGGACAGTACTGCGGAATCCAGCTGGCCTTCGGTGAGCAGAGCAGCCAAAACAACTGCTAGTGCAACAGGCCAGTGGAAGTTGTCAGCATCGCGTGACGATTGGTTAACCAAGATGCCACACTTTCACCACATGCCGCCTTTCGGTAGTATGCAAGAGCAACCGCCAGTAGTAGACACTGAAACACTTCAACACGCATTGACGACTCCGGGACTTGCTCGCGAATCTTTCCTCAACTTCTTGCGCCAGAATGCTTTGCCAACTCTAAAGTGGATGGACGAGTTGAGGAAGTACGAAACGATGCAGAGCGAGACCAAACTACCTCCGGAGGTCGAGCAACTACTTGAAAAAGTAAAGGCGTCGATTATGGAGGACAAGACGATGGAAACGCATCCCAATACCTACTGGCTTCCATCTGCCCGCATCAGAGTAGTCCTTGGCTCGAAAGATGGACGCGGACCCAAGCGTCGCGAGGCATTGAACGTTGCTGGTAAAGTAGTAGTAAACGGAAGTCGCCTCTCAGCCTGGCTCAAAGAAGTCGGCCATTGCGTCTTGCGGGATTTCGTTGCCAACCTCTACATCTACGTCCTGGAGTTCTTTGACGGGTCTTACTCTGGTCTCAGCATGATCCGTAGTCTCGAGAGTGAGGATGTGGTGCTTGATCCGGAGAACAGTTGCCAGATCGTCTGTGGATTTCTAGCGGATTGCCACATCATGCGCCGATACACGCTCCGGCTGTCGCGTGGTCAGATTGGCTTCTCTGTTGATACGGAATGGATCTCCTTCACAACCTTGCTGGCTGAACGTGTAGCTGTTCTTCCTCTGAATTCCGTGGTGTTGTTGATCCGATACTACTCTGGTTGCCGAGTGAACGAACATCCAGAACCATCGAAAAACCGTACAGCACTGAAGGACATTCTGCTGGCTGAGTCCGACAGTGACAGGAAACGCATAGCAAAGGCACTGGATGCTACCATCGATCAAGAGCTCGGAGTGATTGAGGACTTGCGTAACCATGATAATCCAAATGGTGCTGCTGGTCCTCGTGGTCCACGAGTTTCTGAGACAGGACCTCGGGCAGACTTCGGTCGTGTCTTCAATGATTGGTATGTTGAGGCACAATGCACACGCTGCAGCAAAGTGGTTGCTTCAGTGCACAAGACCGAGGTGAAGAAGGGCAAGTCAGCAGGGACTTTCTTGTACTGCAAGTACATAGACCAGCTAATAATAGACTCTGACTCCAAGAAGCCGGCATCGCCTATGCCGAGTCTAGTTGTAGTAGAGGAGTTCGCAAAAAAAGCGTTCTCCAAGAGGCTACTCGAAGTACACGCCCGACAGTGTCCCCTTGCGAACGCTTTCAACTTCGTCAAGAAGCAAGGAGCTGGCGTCGGCCGTCGAGCAGCTAGACCTGTTACTGCTGCTGCAGGTGCATCTAGTTCGCCTGCCGCTGCGCCGCCACCGATTGGCGACGATCCTATGGACTGCACATAGAAGGTGCAAACTCATTCCCATGGCCGTCTCTACGTCTCAGCCACATGCTGGCAGACTTCTAATCTGCAATGTGAACACGGTATCTAGTATCTCCTTACTTTCTTTCGTCTTTCATTGAAAAACTCGTACGCCAATCTCGATAGTATCGCCTTCAAAGTCGTGTTGTTCAAGGATGTTCAAGATCACCAGTAGAAACCTCATCTAAATCCAAGTTACTCAGTAGTAATTTTGCTCATTTATACGAATCAAATGGAGTTCAAATGGCATTTCAGTAGGTATCTTATGCCGAGTACATGATCGCTATTGTATTCAAGTAAGTAAGTTCAAATCTATAAACGATCTGAGACACCAGATAGAAACCAAGTGAAAGAGTCGAAGGCACAGTGAAAAGATCTACATAAAATTACGCAAATTGTTTCAACTTATTTTGTTCTTGATTAAAGTGCCACCTCTTGTCCACTTTTGAACTATCTAACTCTTGATGACATTCCTTAAAGATCGAGTCATTTTTGCAATGGTATCCGAAAACAGTGACGCTACTCCTTTGGGGCTCTTTTTCACGTTCTTGATCGATGATGTGCAAGCGATATCGGACTTCTTAGGTCGACCAGATGCCAGATCTTCATCCAGTATTCTTCGAAAGTTCCGCTTAGATCCACTCGATAGAAGCTGCATCGCATCTACAGGCCAATAAAAATCGTTCGCCCAAGTTTTGCACTTGCTGGCACAATATGAGATGCCAGGGGGGTAGAGGTTGAGATGTTTTGACCATCCCATGTCCGACCTGGTAGGAGTTCAGTCAAGCAGATAGCCTCTGAAAATGGAAACGTTGGACCTCGGTTCCCACTTGAATGATCATCATGGTATACTTTCACACGCTCACAACACGCATCGGCTTAAGGTATTACGAACAGGGAAAAACTAGATTTGTTGGCTATAAATGGAGTGGATTTTAGAGACGTTCACAAGATTAAGATAGATTTTTCAAAAAATGGCTACTTCAGTCGGGATATGCTGCTCGCTTCTAAGATAAGAAGTGTAGAACCTGTTTGCTGGGTCTGGCGCGTATCCCTCCTGCTGCAGCACGTTGATAGGGATCACAAAAGACCCAGCAAGAGTGGGCTGCCCGGTTAAGCTGCGCCGCACATGGACTATGAAAAGGTCCACATCTTCAGGCGTGAACCCGTCCCCGCTTTTTCTGGTATAGATTTATTTGGTTGGTGTGTAGGTTAACTTTATTAGGCTGATGATGAACAAGGAGCAGCGCTTTTTCATGTAGTAATCTTGAATCCAGTAGCAGAATCGCTGACTCTAGTTGAGGAAACGAGTAGCGACCCACCCCCAACCTAAAACTTCAATCCAGGTACCTGGTCGTCGAGACTGTCAGTCCGGTTGGCTCTTCGGTGCCGCGATGCTTGAGCTTCGCCGTACGCTCCTGGCATCTCCGCCTGTTGTCGCTTTTTTTGTGAACGAGTTCCCCATCGATCGCCGTAAACTCGGACTGCGATTGTTGGTATTTGAGGGCAGAGCCTCTCAATTCTTCAGCGAAGCCACTCCGCATGCAGGACTCGACGAGGCTATTTGGGCATGTTGCAGAAAGATTCTGCCGCGCGCTTGAATCCGTCACCCCGAGTAGCCTCCACTGCTCTCGCAAGGCCAGTGCAACCTTCGAACGAGTGAGCCACAGCCTGGCATCTTTAAAATCCAAGCGCTCAACGTTGAGGTATCGGTGAACCGGCAAGACTAGCACTTCTCCCAGCTTGTCGTTGATGCCCAATAGAATAGAGCCGTGGCAGCTCTCTTGTCGGCGCTTCAACGTGTACCGGATCCGCCTGAGCCACTCGCTTTTATCTGGTGTTTCTGATGCTTTCAGTTGGATGAGCAGCCACGGATCCGCCGGCCTCTTGCATGTCTTTGGACGAACAGCCAAGTCCGCGCTGAGCTCGTGGAGGTTGCGAATTTGAAAGCTGTTGGACAGTAGTCCTTGCAACTGTTTCAAGCAGTTGGACTCGATACTTCTCGGAGAGGAGCCCATGCCTTTTTCTAGTCGGTTGGCGCTATAACTCAGATGTTGTTGAAGGTACTGCAATACACAGGAGATGTTGGATTCTAGTGCTGGTGAGATGTCTACTAGATACAAGTTGCCTGCTGGTAGGAGTGAAGATGTGACGACGCTGGTGGTAGTCTTCGGATTTTCGTCTCTGAGTTCAGTAGTTGTTGTGGTTGTATCGGCAGACTCTAGTCCATTTCCTTCATGTGTTTCCATTCTCATCTGACCCCAAGCATACAGGTTTCTGGACCAGATCTTGCTGGAGGTGGACCATGATTCCGATTATCTTGAACGTTGTGAGACCGTGGCGAGGTGGGGCCGAGATCGTGCAGCAAGATGGATCTCAGATTCTGGCCTCCTGGAGGAGCCTTCTGGAGCAGCAGGACCGGAAAGGATCTCCATTAATAGCTAGTAAACTAGCCTAATTTACTAGCTAATTAACCTAGCGACGCAGAAAAAAACGATTTTTGAGAGTGAAAGCAGTTTTACTTGTGATACTCTTCGCTCTATTAAGCCTGAGTGAAGACTGTGAAGTATAATATACATAGGTGGAGTGAATAAATGAAATAGGTGCTGTCCTTACTGCTAATGCTATACACCAAAATGGTTTGGCTTTGGGGTGGGCTGAGTGATGCATACATAGAATTGAGAAAAAGAAGAACATGCGGTCACAGTTGAAGGGCTCGAGGGACCCATCGCCATCTGCATCTCTATTAACCCCACCTCAGGGGTGCGTCGGTCCTTCTCCATGAAGTCCAACCTGCTTGGGGCAGCCACCCTTCCCCGCGGCATCCCGAGCAGGCCCCAAAGACGTTAGTCGGCTGTGGATGGTCTGTTCTCTTTTCTTGTGGCACAGGGCAGCTTTCCTCCAGCACAGAAGTAGAAAAAGACGATCCAACCCTCAGAGAGGTCACGCCATTCTGCAAGTTTAGTTTAATAGGCGTCCCGACTCCGCATCTATAGCTTTTTTTTCGATTCTCTTCACCTTGCTTGCACTTATGCTCACGCCCTCTCTACCTCGCTTGTCCCGCCTCTTCGGTGATTTAGGTAGTTAAGCTTAAGCTCTGGCCTTTCGTTTAGCTACGGGCTGGTTACTTGGGTCAGCTGATAGAAAGAACATTCGAGGAGTTGGAAACTGAAGTAAAACCAAAGAGAGGCTTTGATAAAAACGAAAAGAGTCTCTGGCATCAGATCGCCAACTCTAACAGGATCGAAGCACGGGGATTGTCCGGATTCCGCAGCTGTACATGATAATAAACAGGAAGCAGGCGGAGAGCCTATGTTCCAAACTTTCTGCGAAGCTACAAGCAGGTTAGCAGGCCTCATCGATCGCTGGAAGAAATCATTGGCTAGTCCCGGGGAAATGCTCGAGCCGGAAAAGGAAGCGGGCGCGGGTTCTTCCGATGGCGGTGGTGCTGCTGCGTCAGGTAATGCAGGAGACGGCCTCGCACAAGGAGGGGACGCCGCTGGTGCTGGCCACTCGGGTAAAGCAGCGTTGGCGCTGCAGCGCCTGAGCCTGGCGGAGGTTGCTCGAGCACTTGGCGGCGCACTGGATACTCTCATGAAGATTTCCTTATGGCTACAACATCAGATAGCCCATCTCTAAGTGGGGCGAGGACGTAAGCAACAGCATTCTGCTTCCACCTTCTATGAAGTAGCAGTATTCCTCAGAGGAAATATCTCTAAAGTACTAAACACTATATCAATATCGCTGAGTCTTATTCGGTCTAAAGTACTAATAGTAATAGAAATAGTAGTATTCCTCTTATAAATTGAATCTAGAAGTGGTTGTGGTCGGGTTGAAAATATTGTCTCCTCGTGATGGGAATACGATGCTCTCCTCTGAAGTATCCAGTGTTGAATGTAGATCTCAACACGACCCCAGAACTTCTTACATCTCATAAAAGCCGCAGAAGCAAACTCACACTGTCAATGTTGTAGGGGAAGTCTAATTTTTCGAGGTGCCGCCGCGGAGATTCTGGCGGATGAGGCTGCTAAAGATGGCACTGCTTCACTTTCACTTAAAGAAGCTCAAGATCCTGAAGAGCAAGAGGAAGACGAAGAGCCAGAGGGTTTTATCCGTGCTGCTGCAGATGATGCTAGCTTTGTCGATCTTGGATCTGGTGCTGGTGGTGTGCTGCCACTTCGTGCTGATGGGGATGGCGTTGGGGAGGCTAGTGTTAAAAATGTAGGACAGCAGTCTTTTTAAATACGGAAACTTCATCGCATCCATTTTGATTCGCATCGGTCTCCCTTGTTGTTGTGCTGGTAGGTACAGTAGCAGTTTAAGACGAGTCAAATAAAGTGGGAGATAAGTGTAGAAAATGAAGTGCGGAAAGCCCTAAGCCTGGCTATGCTAGAGTTGAAGAGCGGTGGGAGAGGCGGCTGGGAGCGCTCTACTGGTAACACTGATTCGGTCAGTACATCTGCGAAGGCGGCGGCGCCACGGCGTTGGGGCGACCGGGCGCAGGCATATGAACGAAGACTGCACAAAAAGGATCCCTTCGCGGTCTGCCTAAGTGTTTGTGAACGCTAGGACTGCTTATTTTCACCCTTGTGGTGGTGCGTTTTTTATATAATTCCCGGCCTGTTTCAGTTGTGCAAATTGTGAAGGTTTTGCATGATTCTCATGCGGTTGCAAAGTTGTCAAATGTGTGGACCTTCTTGCTCATAAGTATCACGATAAGGATCCACATCATTAGCATGGTACTCCAGTGGTGTGATCTTTGTCACTATGGGATTGCAATGATTTCCATCATGTTCATGCTGTTGATGATCTTCATATTCATGAAAGTACTAGGATCATCGTGTTCATCTTCTTCATCTTCTTACTTCTATCATTTGCAGAACAGGGGAACTGGATCATATCCCCCCTTAATCTATACTCCATCGAATGAATGACGTGTAGATTACAATAATAATAGTGGTTGCAAGTTCGACTGTATTCCAGCGAATGAATACAATACGGAAAAAGCATGATGCATGTTATGACTGAAGATGAATAATTTTTGTTGCACAATATTAGAAACATAGGCTATTTCTACGTAGCCAAGTATAAGACTTAGAGTTCTTCTCCAAAGTCTTCTTCAGCAACATTCTCAGTGTTGTTTTGTTCTTCTCCGTTTTCCTCAGGGGCAGCGGCTGCTTCCGCCGGTACTGCCTCTGCTGGTGCTGCTTCTCCCTTTTTTCTGGCTTTCTTCAGCGGCGGCCCTTTTGCTCCACCGTCTTCTTGTTTACCTTTCCCCTTTTTGCCTTTGCTTTTGTCTCCTTTGTGCGGTTGCTGCGCCGCTTGCTTCTCCTTTCCTTTGTGGTAGCTGCTGCTGTTCTTCGTCGCCGAACTACTACTACTACTGGAACTACTAGAAGAAGAAGGGGCTTGCTTCCCAGGTGCCATTTTGTGGGACACCCGCGTCGACGTTGGGCAGGCTTGAACGAGGTTAATTGTATTCTCCATAACTCCCATGGATCCAACGACATCCAGGTTACTCACCGTCTCCCGAGCGTAAATTAAACGGAGAGTACAATTGTGGAAGAATGCGCTTCCTTCTTTCCTCATTTTCCTTGCCAGGTCCCAGCCCTCAGTCTGCATAGCAAGACCCATATCCGAGCACTGTCGACTGTAGTGGGAACTCATGTTCGGGCCGTGGTTGGATATCCACTCCTTCCAAACATTCTCCTCTTGGACAAGCATGCGCGATAAGCATAGTTGGAATGCTTTTGCGTAGTCGCCGTCCGACCTACATCCTTTCAAAGTTGCGACGTGTCGCTCAATGATCTCGTAGAAGATGTGACTCTTTACTCCGAGATCAGCTGGAAAAGCAGGCGGCGGGGGTCTTGTTGCAAGTGACACCTCGTTACCTCGGATTGCTGACATCAAAGATTGACGCCAAGCTTCCGCCCCTTGTAGTCGTTGAGGCTCTTTCGGAACGATTACTCTCGCGAAGCCCGGCATTTTGTTTTTGGGTAGTTGTAATCTATATTGTTAGATAATTACAAAATACAGCGGTAAACTATTGAAGAAATACTATACGGACACTAAATATTTATGACTAGAACCCAGTTAGACAAAGACGAAAAAAAAACTTTCGAGACAGTAAACAAGAATTATACGCATGGAAATCCGATAACGTTTAACGAACTTAAGAGATGCAAGTATAAACACACACGAGATCCGACAACGAACCTCGACGAGTAAAAAAAATCAAGTTTACTTTTTGGGTTTTGTTCTTGCGATTTTATGACATAGACTCACAAGTGTCGGCTTATTAAGTGCCTTCGTGAAGATGTCTGCCTTTTGCTCGTCAGTGGGGCAGAAGTGTAGATCTAGTCTCCCTTCTCCGACAACTTGGCGGATCCAGAGTAATTTAAGATCCATATGCTTGACCCGACGAACTTCTGGCGATTCGCCGACCGCTTTCGCGCTTCGGTTATCGATCATTAAAGGAATTGGAGCTAAAGACTTTTTCAAACGGCCATGTGGATCCGTCGATTTTGATTGTCGGCTATTGCCTAGATTTTCAAGAGATTCCTGAAGTAGTCTCCGGAGGTAAACTGCCTCCCGCGCGATTTCAGTCGCGGCTATAAGCTCCGCTTCTGTCGTTGATAATGCTACGACAGGCTGCTTTTTACTTCGCCACGCGATGGGCGTGCGCTTGGTTTGGCCTAATTCGACGAGGCCTCCACTGACCGATCTACGGGTCTTTTTACATGTTCCCCAGTCAGCATCTGACCAGGCTTTTGGAGTTAAGTCACCGTCGCGACCATCAATGTCTAAGGCGAAGCTCCGCGCTTTGCGGAGATATCCTAATAATCGATCACACACTCGCAGGGCCACTGGCGTGGGCTCCTCTAGACATGTGGATAGGTATTGAACGACATACGCAATGTCATACCGTGTTGATGTACATAGATACATGACCGCGCCGACAAATTTCCGGTAGGTCGATTTTTGTACGCGTGTAGCGATTTTCGGGCGAGATTTCTCAGAAAGCTCTTTTTCGAGACGATCTATCTCCGCCCGTGTTATGGGAGTGTCGCACTCTTTCAGAGTTTTATCTGGGTGAAAGTCCTGCAGAATCTTATCGGCCAGATTTTCTTGACTCAAGGCCAGCCTGCGTCTCTTCTTGAGAACGTTGATGCCTAGAAACTTATACAGTAGTCCGCCGTCCTCGAGCTTTTGCGGTTCACACGTATTGTGTTCGAACCTGTCGAGGATCGAGCCTCGAGCCGCGGCTATGTCCTCTTTCCGACCTAGAAAGACTATGTCATCCACGTACGCGAGCATGCACACACGGCGCTCGCCGTGGAAAAACATGGACGGTTCGTTTAAGCTCTGTTTCCAACCGGAGCCGGTGGCGTGTCTTGCGAACGTCTTAGCCCAGAGAGCTGGAGCACTTTTCAATCCATACAGGGCTTTCTTGAGTTTCCATCGGACATTTTCCTTTCCTTTGCGCCACTCGGGGGGTGGTATGCAGTAGACGTCCTCGCCGACTATGTCTGCATATAGGAAAGCTGTCTTGACATCATATTGCTCGAGATCAAAGTCTAGCGCCATGGCTATCTTGAACATGAGCCGCATACTTGGGATCCGAGGGGCGGGCGAGTAGATGCTCTCTTGGTATTCTACTCGGTTTCCGAGCACGACGGCGCGACACTTGAGTCGCCCGCACTCTTTGACATTGTATAGTACTCGTATCGGCACAGCCTTCGCTCCTGGAGGCAGGTCGTTGGCCGATATTTCATCGAATATGTCTCGTCCCTTGATCGAGTTTAGCTCTGACGCCAGCGCGGCGGCCCAGCCTCCTGGATCCTCTGCGAGTGCTTGTTTTCGCGTCAAGGTCCTTAGCAGGAGGACATACTCATCGTGGGTCAGAGCGTCCGTAGTGTCGCCAATCTCGATTTCTGATCGATTCTCGATGATGTTGGCTATAAAGTCGACACTCTGAGGGGGCAGGTCCTCGATGAATGTGACTGCCGCAGTGTGTCCACTGGGAAGTAAGGTCTCCTCTTCCTTGTGCTTACTGCGTCTCTCCAGTTCTCGCTGCAGGTTAAGGTGTACAGGCCGACCCTCTAAGCCCATTTCCTAACGGAGCGCTTCCGCGAGTGCCACTGATCTATGGCGACCTTTCGAGCACTGGAGCACGAGCTTTCCGCTCTTTTTGAGAAGTTTGGTCGCATCGCTGAGGAATTGCGAGTAGCTCTCATGTGTCTTGATACCATCGGACACTTCAGCACAAGAGCCTGTGCTGTTTCTTTGGAATGTACCTAGCTGGATCAGCTGGAAAATATTTATTGACTCGGAGAACAGCCGCGCCGAGGCGCTTAAGCTTGGCGGGGATTTTGTCTCCACAGCTGAAGAGTTGATACCGACTCAGATTCTTTGGAGCTTGGAGTTTCTCCAACATATCGCGCGGGAGACGGACTACGGGCCCCGACTGTGCGGCGTCTGCCTTTTCTGGTTGTCCACTGTCTCCACCTTTGTCCGGTTTCGCTTCGGGAGCGATGGACGGGCGGGATGAATCCCCCCTGTATGTTGGCTCCGCGCCAGAGTCTACTTCCCTGGTCCTGATGACCTTTTTCTTCTGCTCGTCCCAGACTAAATAGTCTGGCGATAGGTGCGAGTATCCTACAAAAACACCCGGAAGATACGCGCGCTCCATCTTCGTTTTCACGAAGTTTTTGTATCGACAAGGCGTCCCGAAGGTCCGCATATGCTGCGCGCCAGGCTTGACCCCGTTACGCTTTTCATAGGAGCTCACGCTCCCAAGTATCGCGCGTGGCGACCTGTTTAATGCATAGCAGAATGCCTGTGCTGCGCAACCCCAATAGGTGTCTGGGGGTCGCGCTGTATCTAGGAGACACTTCATCCCCTGCATGACGAGACGACTATGAACTTCTGCGCTACCATTTTGCGCCGGTGAGTACGGTGATGTCTTGCGCGGCCTGATGCCGTGCTTTCTCAACAGTTTGAGGAAGTCGCCGTCGAATTCTTTTCCGTTGTCCGAGCGGCAGGCTTTCGGCACTCCAAACATGTCCATCCATTTCTGGAGTCCGGTGTATGCGTCGCTTTTGCGCGCAATTGGGAAGACTTCTACCCACGAGTCATATCTATCCACGATGATGGCCCAGTAGCGGTTGCCGCCTATCGATTCAGGTAACGGCCCGCAAAGGTCCACGCTGATTGTGTGCCCAGCTTCGGTCGGGAGGAGAAGTCGTTCGTGCGTTTCTTTGCTGAACGGTTTCCGGCGAGCCTTGTTCAGTCGGCAAGCCTCACAAGACGGCATGTTGTAGGTTGCATGCCCCATCCTGTTGTGGATGACCTCTTGGGTCACGTTGAGCTCTCCCGAGTCCAGGTTAGGCCTGTAGCTGAGGCGGAAGAAGTATAGTCCTCCCCTCTTTGTGATTGGGATCAGCGTCCCGCTAGGTGTTCGCAGTCCGTCGAAGTTTTCTGTGACGGTAAACCCTGCGTCCAAGAGCATGCTGAGACTGTCGACATTTCGCGCCATTTTCGGATTATAGTACGCACGGCGAAGGGCCAACTTATGCCCGTTGTCTGCCGTTAGTGTCCGTAGTGATGCCATGTAACCGCCATTAACGTGCGACCCATCCGCTTGTTGGATTTTCCCGCCGTCTTTGGTCAGAGCACGGATCATGTTGGAGTCTTTGACGCAAAAAATTGTGGCTCCACTGTCTAAGATCCATTCAGTTTCGATCTCATCGCTGACAGTGTGCAGAAGGATGCTTTCGAATTCTTGAACCGTGCGCATGCGCGCCTGATCCAAGGGCTGCCGAGTTCCTTCTTTCTGTCCCGTCGCGGACTGATGCTGCGACGTGTCGAGAAGTTGTTTTTGGTCGCCCTCGCTGACGACTGGCTCGCAGATGGGACGCCCATCCTTTTGCGAGTCTTGCCTGCACGCACACGAAGGAGGTTGTCGCGGCGCCAGACTGTCTTTGTCAATAGCATTGACGAGATCAACTCCCTTCTCACGAAGGAAATCGATCCAGTGTACACTTCGTTCCTTTGCTCCATGCGTCCCATGGAGGCTCTCTGATCCAGGTGGACGCCACCCGCCACTGGATCTCCTTACCTTGGGCACGGGGACCGAGTACGATACTAATCCCGTCCCAAGGTTTTCCATCCTTCTCTTTTGAGATTCGCTGTTGAGTCACAACGGCGGCACAGCGCCGCCGAGCACTGTGATGCGCGAGGCGATGCTGTCCTTCTTCTTGCCTGACCCGGATGGATTGGTAGTCATGCC